AACAACGCGAGGAAAAAAATTAACCACAAAGCATCATCCCTGCCACGATGAATCCAATGAATTCCTGGTAGCACTAACGACTATGAAGTTAAAAAAATTATGGCAGAGCCGAACCCCGCTAGTTTTTCCATTAAAAATCCGAAAGCTCCGGGTGGCTTATTCATCGGCTCGCCTTTTCTTCTGCTTTCATTTTCCTGTTCAGCATCTTACGTATTTTCTCACTCCCTCTAACAGTGGCGTCGATTTCTCGTTCTCGCACACCTCCGGGCCCATTTTAGTTTCTCCACGTGGGATATATACGGGCCGTGCAAAGCCGAGCGTTAATAAACGATCCGAGATCAAAGCCCTTGCGAGACGATTCCCGCTCTCATTAGCGGCGATGAAACGAAACTCGAATCATCGGAGCATGGAACGCGAGTGCGCCATCATGGCCAAAAAAAGAAAAAGAGAAAGAGAGACGGAGAGAGAGAGAGAGAGAGAGAGAGAGAAAGAGAGTCGACGAATAAAGACGTGCGTGCGTGCAAGTCACAGCCAAGTGAAATAAAAAAAAATCGCGACGATCGCCAGTGTCATTATTGCGCTGCGATCGCACATACCTCGTGTTCATTTGCAGCGAATTGCACAATAATAAATAATCGTTGTGACTCTTGATTTTAACTCATAGTATTATTACTATCTACAATATTCGATAAACATGATCGATTTTTCATTTTTCATAATTTTATTTTATAGAAATTCGGTTGACGGCTGATGGTTGACGGATAATATTTCGTGCGGTTCTCAATTTTATGATAAAATTAATTTGCAACTGTATTAAAGTCATACATTTATTTATTAAAGAGAAGGGACAATTCACAGTCTTGTTGCATCATACATATGCACAGTTAGAAATTTCCATAGCTTCACGTAACAAACTCAACAATATGTATACAACTTTAAAAACATAGTCCAAGATGTATATAGTAATTGCCGATATAACAACAGTACGTTAATTATAGACGATAAGTTTTTATGACAAAGTAAAAATACATAAAAATATTATATACAAAATACGTAGAACCCTGTGCGTGTTCAGCTTTATCCCCCTCCCCCTACTCTTTCACTCAGTCACTCAAAACTCTCCATCTTCAACGATTATATTTATAGTACATTTCATCTCTTTTATGCACATATATATATATATATATATATATATATATATATATATATATAATGAAAATACAATAACATTTATAGAATCGGTACAAAAGTTTCAATTAACAATTAATTTTATTTTCATCAATTTTTATCAATTTTCACTCATTCGCATTTTCCTTTACGTTAATCTCACTCTCATTATCTTACACACCTTCACCTCCTCCGCTTCCATTATTTGACGCATCATTCATTTTATTCATATTTGAAGGTGACGATACATGTGCTCTCATTTGTAAGGAATTATCGATTATACCGATAAGACGATCTTCCTTCTCTTCTTTCATATCTGCTCTCGGACTGGCACCGAGTTTATAATTATCAGTTCGAGAAATCGGTTAACATTCGTAACGCCAAATATGTCCATTGATGTACTTCAACACAACTTTTGAACATCTTCATACCTGATAATGTACACTCAATAGATATTTAATTGCACATAATGAAATCCCTATAGTTACGTGCATTTTAACATAATAATTGTGTTCACGTTAACAGATAACCAATTAAACAAAATAGCCGCAAAATATGCTCTATTAAGCATAGAGTGCACAAATAAATTAAATTTCGAATGCAAAGTAAATCTGAAGAGTGCGATTTAAAAATAATAATGAACAAGGATCAAGAAGATCGCGTGACAGTCAATAGCATTGGATGTAAGAGCTAAATATTCTAGCAATAGCGTATCGGAAAAGTTACATTATGGCGCACGAGTAAATGTATATTTCGCACTGGTCTGATAACCGGAAGCTAGTCTCGAACGGAAATTTCCTGTAGTTGTGAGCTCTTGAGTTGAAATGCTCGCATCTGTAACACGTACGGAAAGTGCCAAGACAGCATCCGATTAAAGTGTTGTATACGCGCTGTTTTCATGTTCCTTTCTCTTTTTCTATCTCTCATCTTCGTTATGTGACCCATTCTTACTCCGGCGATGACGATCAAGATCTCAAAGACGGACCGGTCGGCATACAAGTACGGAGAAGGGAGGGTGGAAGGGAAGCGCCATGTAAAAACGATGGAGGCCAATGCATTTGCGCCGATGCGAGCACGCGAGCAAGATGTAACAGGCCGATAAGTCGAATGAAAAAGGAAACGTGCACTCTCTCGATACTAAGTTGTCATGCCGCGAATGCATCTTCCTTTCACTCTTTTTCTTTCTTTCTCATCTTCATCCTCCCCAGTCGATTCAATTTTGTTCATTGTTCGCAATCGTAATATTCCGTGAACGTATTTTTCGACCAAATTACATACGTATTGGAAACCGAATGATCATTCGTATTTATACTTTATTACATCCGTAAACAGTGTTATTATGGCAACATACGATTAAAATGACTATTTTTGTACACCATTGGTAACAATTATGAATTTTCGAAGCACATAATCGCTCCAAACGAGTTGTCGACCCCGTTACGGCCATTGTTATATAATCACGCTTCGTAAGGAACGATGTGCAAATCTCTCTCATTAATCACGACCGGTCAAACACAATGCAGAAAGCCGTAACATAATTCACGTACTAAAAAAAGCCTCTACAAAACAGCGGTGGTACGTTCTCGAATGACCGTACATGTCTAAATTATAAAGACAGCTTTGTATCTATAAATTTTACGAAAAATTTGTTCTACGACGAATCATTCCTTCCCTCCAGCTCTCTTTGCCTATTCCATTTTTATATATAAGTAAAGGATGTGTTGGGTAAAAGGAGGTCCACCTTCGCATTGCCCCGTCACCCTCGACCCAACTGACATTCCGTGAGATCGAAGCTAAGCCTGGGCTCGATCGGCTTTGATTCTTGTTTCCATCGAATATATGTATATATATATATATATATATATATATATATATATAATATGGAGGTGGGAGAGAGAGAGAGCGATAGAGAGAGAGAGAGAGAGAGAGAGAGAGAATGAGAGAATGAGAGAGAGAGAGAGAGAGAGAGAGAGAGAGAGAGAGTAGAAACGTAAACATCGAAAGACGAAAGTGCAATTATAATGCACCTATATAAAGCCGCGGGCGTACACTCTCTCATACCTTATTACACCAACAAGTGTCCTCTTATTTCCTATTCTTACCTTCTTTTATTTCTCAAAACTGATAATGGAGAAGAGTGACATTAATTTGCATTACTTTGAAGGCTATCGCATCACTAGCATTGTAATCTAATTACACGAATTTTTACCTGCTCCTAACCGTATGAGCCCTTATCACGTAAAACAATAATCTGATCATTGATGTAGAGAATCACGGCCAGTTTTTGCAAGCACATGCTAATTTAAGTTATATGACTCCGGTAAGTCATTCGATTTTTGCTTAGTGCGCCACAAGTGACTTTTAGCTTTATCAAGAAATGAAATCATTATTTGCTTTTAAAAAGAAATGCGATGTAAACACGGCATTGCAAATTGTGCTTGTCCGAGTATTACTCATGCTACCTAATGGATTTCATGGGCAGTTAATTATTATTGGCCGTGATAGACGAGCGTAAATATGCGAAATGCGCGTGCTTATGAGAGAAAGGACAAACGCATGTTGGCGAATGATTTTAATTTGAGATTCAACGTCTAATCTTTCTAGCATATTTATATACAAATATGTATATTAATAGACCGGGCCCGATCTCTTTTTTCATTAAATAGTTTTCTATCAAGATTTTCTAATCGTCATCTTAATAGCTGGTAAGATTTAGCATTCCAAAATAATTCAACAGTTATTTCAATACAAAATCTCGATGTTTACGAGCGGATCCCGGCCCATTTCAAATTCAGTATTCAAATTTTTTTATTTAATCCGAATTTTGAACTTTACTAATTTATTCGAAATAAATAGAGAAAGGACTTTCAGATCCTCTATGAATACACGCGGTGTAACTAAAAAAAACCAGGCAAATGATGTAAATTGTCAACATTGACAAATATATATATATATATATATTATAATATAATATATAATATAATATAATATAATATAATATAATATATATATATATATATATATATATATATATATATATATATATATATATATATAATGGATAGTTGTATATGAATAAATAAGCTATTCGGAATAAGCAAGTCTCATTTGCATATTGTACATTCATAACTTCCGATTATATAATTATGCAAATAGATAATTCCTTCTATATATATTTATTGTAAGACTTAAATACATATCCAAATTAATATCCAAAATTAGTACATTATACATTTTAGGAAATTATTAATTATATTCCTCTAATTAAACTGTCAGATTTAATAGAGTTCCTCATCTGTCAATAATACATCTCCTTTACAACAAAAACATTTATAGGAAAAAAAAATGATAATGCTATTTATGTATTCCACGCATGGATATTAAATATGAATGGAACAATCATACACTAATATTTACGATTTTATGTAATAAAAGCTCATTTTTAATCTAAATTAGAAAACATTGTAAAAATTAATTAGAAATATTATTTATTTGCTATACTAGTAAGTGAATGCTTTGCTAGTAAGGATCAGTGGTAGCAAATCGCAAAAGACGTCAATTGGATATGCATGTAAAGGTGAGAAAGTACATTACGCTTTCTTAAACGAAG